CTATACGTAGTATATTCACCTCTATTTGTCCATCTGTCATAACCTACTAGTAGTGACTGCAAATGTTACGTACGCAAAAAATGTTTATTTTTTTTAATTTATTCAAAATTTAGCGAGCTAATCATAGACGAATAGCATAATTCATCAAAAATAATATTGTAACAATACTGAACTACAGACAACTTGAGTTTGTATTTAAAGAACCTATATAAAGAATTTAATTTCTTAATACTAAGTTGTTTTTGGCAGTTGTCAAAAAAAAAGATTTAGCAATGAATTTAAGGAGTTTACTCGTGTTAGTAATATTAATGTAAAAAATATATAAATATTTGTAACCCAAATGATTTTAATATTATTAAGTAATAGATAGGGTATTTATTTACAGATAAAATTAACCAAAACGAAAGTGTAAATTAAATTCTTAAAAAAACTTGAAAGTAAAATTAATGAAGCATTTTATAATCATTTAATTAAATAACTTATTTATAAACTCAGTAGGAGAATCAATGTTAATACTTGGAATGTATTTTTTAAGATAATAAAGAATATAAATCTATACTAATAATATTATAAACAGGTAAAGTTTATGAGTTTGTGATTTTGTGAGTTTGTGACGTTGTAGGGGGTAATCTCTGGGTCTACTAACTCGATTTAGATGAAATTTTGTTGAGAAGATAGTTTGAGACCCTGGGAAGGACATAGGATACCTTTTATCCCGTAAATCATCCCTTAAGGGGATGGGGGAGGGGGGGATGAGGGTGAAAGTTCGTATTGGGAATCAAGCAAGGGACTAACCCGAGCGAAGCAAGGGTGAGTCGCTTGTAATAATAATTACTTTTCCATTTATGTCCGTGTTCCGTTCCATACAATACCGTTAACTACTCGTATGTGGAGTGAATTCATAATCGTACTGTTTTATTTTACCGCTTAGTGCCATTCTTTTCTGTATTAACACAAGTAGCCATACCTATATATTTAAATGTTTTAAAATTAAAAGTAAAAGTATATATTTTACTGTAGCTAATGCAGTTTTTACAAATCTTAAGTACATATAGAAAATGCTACTAATTAATTATGAAACTATATCGTGTGTCATGATACTATTACTGTACAATGTACATGAAGCACACATCGACACTATTTGCAAGTTGCATACAATAGGAACCTTGTGTGTAGCCACCAATCGTCATATACGAGTACACATAGACCAACAGAATATGTACACTGTACATATATATGTAAAACATTGTTCAAACAAATATATTTTCAGAATTTCTACTACATTTTGTAGTATCTAATATTGCAAATGGAAGTGCAATTTGTACGAGTTAGTTCAGAATTTACCTGAATATGTATTCAGTAGTTAGGTGACAGAACTCTGTTAGATGGCAGGACAAACTGGACTAGGCACATGGGAATTCTTTGCATATTTGACTATCTTGCTTGCCATTTCAGTGTTAGCTAAATTACAAATTAATAATCTATACGCATTAGTTATTACAGCTCATTGTTATAGAGTGAGTGACGTTTGCGAATTATAGATGAGTATTTGTTTGTTGTTCATAAGTTATTGCAGTTTGTGTAAATAAGTAATGTTGTACGGATTGTAGTTACAAAAGACGCGAGCCTGGTTGTATTCTCACGAGGAAGAGCCTCCCTTCAATTCGGGGGGGATCAGGCCACTGTGCGGGCCATGCGCGGGTTGGCGGACTTCAGACGTCTTTCGAAAACTTGCTTGATTCTCTGACATACAGATTTCCTCACGATGGTTTTGTTCACCGTAAAACAAATGGTAATCGTGTTTGAAATGATGACATGACACATGAAAATTTCTGAGGTGTGGGACCGGGAATTTGAACCCGCTTCACTCATTTTACTAAGAGAACGTGTTAGCGCTGAGCTACCACTGCCTATTCTGATTGGCATTGGAGTTGACAAGTTAGAATCCAGTATGAGTGAGTATTTTCATTGATTTTTATATGCTTACCCTAATCGTTTTCAAACAAAACACAGCGATACTTAAGTAACTTAGTTTTGGTTAATTCAGTTGGTAAGACGAACAAAGCAGCATGTAACTAGATTATCCTAGATAAGATAACGTGATAAGGAAGACGCCAGACCGTTGTGGTTGAATACTAAAGTAATACCACTTGGATGGTACCGTCGGGTTCTAACAGCTGGCTAGCTCCTGTAGCCGGTAAGTACTATGTTAACACCGGAAGCAGTTTATATGCTTAAATGTATTTTTTTAAAGTAAAAGTTAGGACTTTCTTCCAAAAATATACATATATAGGTATAGAAAAAGAATAGCCATGACTAATAATGTTAAAAATATTCAACAAAATATAAAATAAAGCAAATTATTCATTAATTTTAGCTTTGTCCTGAAAATAAACTGTGTCTCTATTGAGATGACTACAGATTATGAAAAAATAATAAGGTTAGTTTAACATGAAATTATAAAATTTCACTAAACGTAGAAGTTTCTCTGCTACATATTAGATGAGAAAATGAACACTTTAATTGGAAGGTTGGATGAGTTATGCGCTCGGTCAGCGCCGCGGGCGGCAAGTGCAAGATGTACGGCTCAATAACGTCGCCTTAATCTCAACTCAGCTTTCGAAGACCTGAAAGAGATTTACTGCAACGTGCAACTTTAAGTAAAGCACTGTGCACATTTGTAATCAAAATAATGGTTGTCCGAATTAATATCATAATTGACGTAGCTTGAATTCGTCTATAGAAATATGACAAAATTGCAATTTTTTTAGACTTCAATATGCCTTCAATAGGTAAATGAATAAGCGATTCACCCTTTTAAGAGATTATTAAATATAATCGAAATGTCAGATAGCACTCTGTTAAAAACGCTACAAAATGTACAATAGCTTTCGGCACCATATAGGAAAAATCAAGTAGTCAAGTGACATGTAGTCGAGCTAAAATTTCCATTTGGCTAGCGGCGTTTAAGAGACGTGAATGGCCATTGTTCTGGAGCCATTGTGTTTTTCTATTGACCGGCGCTGCTCATACAGCTATGCCTTCAATTACTGTAGAAACTGAAATCGTTGGATAAGTTACTCCATGATTGACGCAGTGATTAACACTTTAAAGAATGTATAATGCTGTTATTTAAAATGTTTTACTTTGGTTTATTTTTCGTTAATATTTTTTGTTGTGAGGTGAGAGTTAAATGTTCAGTTTATTATAATTTTTAGGGTTCCCTACCTCAAAAAGAAAAAGGAACCTGTATAGAATCACTTCAATTTTCATCCGTCTGTCTATCTGTTATGATTCTTTTTCTCAGGAACACGTGGAGGTATCAAGTTGAAAGTAATATTAAATACTCAGTTCTGCGGACATGATGCCCGAATATTCACTCTTTTAGTCATTCGATTCGGCGTTGCGATTGTTTGCGGGGCTATTGTTGATTTAAACATAATAAACATAAAAGATGTGATTAAAAATAAGGCCAATATGCTCATTTTATGGTAAGCCTTCCAAAAAATATTATTTTAATTTTTGAGTGAATGTAAGAAAGTATATAAAAATTATCATTAGTTTAATTTTTTTTGCAAATAGATAAATTTTTGGAAGAATCGAGTTGTGACCTGCTTGGACAGGTCTGCCGTTGGGGTGTCGAGGTTAAATGCGCAAGCGATCCGACGGGGAAGGGTCTGTTGGGTTTTAATGGGTAGTACTGGCTTTGCCAGTGAGTCCCACGTAACCACCTGTATGCATGTAAATAGTATGTGAAAATGCATTTCCTAACGTTAAAAAAAATTAGAGCTCTTTGGCGGTTTATTTGAACGACTGGATAGTGGATACGCAGTGAAAAAAATAGTCTCTCAATGCTGTTTGTGGGCCTTCCACGATCTTGCTTTTCCGACTGACATAAAATGTAGTTCATGCATGTTCACGTTTCGATTGACGTACTTTCCGGTTTATGGGAATGTAACATATCTACTTCCCAACTCTGGAATGCTATTGAGAATTTCTTAATAGTAAATTCCAAACTATACTTAGCCCAACCTGGATCTTGAGCCTAGGACCTATAAATCTTCAGTGGTATATGCTAATTGTTAATGACTAAACCAACGAAACAATCTTTTTATGTATATAAAGAAGAAGTAAATTAATTATTCTATCTATAATTAAATAGCTAGACTTATTCTGTAAGCACCAAGTATTATACGAGGATTAAAATTTTAACCGCGTAGCGTTCAAGAGAGTGAAATGGCTATTGTTTTAGAACCATTATGTTCCTCTGTTAACTACGGCTGTTCATTTCTGGTGTTTGTATAATTATAGTAATAACTTGTCGAATGGATTTATAATTAGAGCAACATTTTTAAATTCTTTTATTTAACTTTCATTCGTATTTAATAAAAAGTTATTATTTTGACATTACAAACATACAATTCAATTTTATTTATTTATATAGAAACCATTTATTGAAGTGACTAGTTAGTCTTTAACGACAAATCGTACACTTGAATATCCATCTGTTCTAGCGTCCAGCACAAAGGTTTGGGCAGTCGACCGATCTAACAAGCGTAACGTATCATTGCCAGCGTGTGAAATCCGAAATGCTAGCTGTGGCCGTTAACGATGTGATTTCACCGTTTGTAGCCTTAGCTAAAACCGTTGCATCATGACAGGAACGCTCTGCAAAATACTGATAAATGAACAATGCCCACTAACAGATTTGGCGCACAACGGTTTTGGTTTTCATTTCAATTATAACTGGGGATGGTACTGAAACGTAGTTACAGGCGCTGACTGTATTGAGCGAGTTGTTTCAATTTTGCTGCAAACATTGTGCCAGATAAAACAAATTATGAATATTGAATGGTGATACATTCTTTTTGTTTTGTGATTTTGGATAATTAATACAATTGTAAGACTTTTCACCGGGATATATAAATAATATCAAAGAAGAAAATGAAATAAACAAGAACTTGAGCAAGCATTTATTTAGGCTAACTAAGAACACATCAAAAAGGTGGTAGCCACACTTCGAAGTTAGATTTGTAGGCTAGTTTCTTTCGTAATGCGGCGTCTAGAAATGCATCTCGACTGCCGTCTCGCGGGGCGCACTTGTCCCGCCCGCCCTCTCTTGCGACTTCCCGCACCGCTCGAAGAAACTTTGACACTTGAGCAACACTTTCACGAGCGTCTTCCATCGGTAACTAGTTAAAAATAGTTATTTAGTCATTGCTTTTCAGTTTGGTGTAAGTATTTACGACTTGTATTTGCTTTAAAATGTTAATTTATTGATTCATTTAGGCTTTATTAATACAAAAAAAATGAAGATTATTTATGAAGATATAAGATGACATGATATTTAAATTATGAATATATAAATAACTAAATTGGTTATAACTGAATAATAAACATTAAGTTTAGTTTTACTTTATTATTGCGCATATATTTTTTTGAATATGAATTTCAGAACTTCATAAAAACAAATTATATTATAATAATACCTGATCATCTAATGATGATGGTAAAGTATGGGGATATATTCGCACCCACTGTCCAACACGACCTAGAGCACGGTCCCATCGCACTCCATTCCCCCAGGTGCATGCACTCATCATCTTGCGGCGGGATGCGGCAGTTGAGTACCCACCACGCCACGATTCGTCAACGGTCTCCGTTGCCGTAGCTACATTTGTTGATGACTGAAAGCGTTTCTGTTTAGTTTACCTGCTATATTTATTTCGTTTAAAATTAACATATTCTGCTATAATTTAAGATAATTACAAAAAAAGCAAAGCGCACGTAACGATTGCCTAAAATTAAAAAAAAAACCTTTTTGAACCTATTTTGACTGTGAACCTATTTTGAGTGTGATCTTAAATAAAGTAGTTGGTTGGTGATGGTGAGGAATATAAAAGATCAATTTAATTGTTGGCAAGTCTATGATACACCTAGAAATCTAGGACTATGTATCACGAGAAGTTTCCTGGATTCGAGTTGCAGATCGGACCGAAAAAAATTAGAGTTTTCTGTATAGAAATTTCAAATAAATCATTTTTTCTACATTAATATTTGCACAATATTTTGTACTTATTTATATTTTGTATTATACTAGCAACTACTATGATCGGTTGTAAATAATCTGCGTACCTGTATTTCTGTGTTTTCAGAGCTCAATTCAGGTGAATTTTTTAATAGGTTTCCTATTTGAAAATCCTTAGATTTTTCAGGTGATTCCTTAAAAAAACATATTATATAATATTAATTATGTTTGTATATTACATAATACATAAATTTTATATTATAATGAGATTAATCTCATGTAAACTGACTACAATGAGTATCAACATAGGAATATACTTAACGTTTGAACTGCCTCGGTGGTGTAGTGGCTGGCATGTACGACTGTACACCCAGAGGTCCTGGGTTCGAGTCCCGGGTCGGACCAAGTTTAGTTATTGAGTCTTTCTGTATGGTAAGCCTCAGTAACAGCCCGGAGTTGGGAAGTTGGGGGTGTTTCACCCCCGTGCCTCGGAGAGCACGTAAAGCCGTCGGTCCTACGCCTTAACTCTCACTGGTCGTGTCGAGTGGTCGTCCGACCGGAGTATGAGAGTGACAGGAATAGAGAGGAATGCACGTTGTGTCTGCGCGTACACTTGTGCACTATAATATCTCCTGCGCAGTTGGCTAATCTCAATGAGATTGGCCGCCGTGGCCGGAATAGGTCAGGAGAACATCATCATACTTACCGTTGGAAAATAATGAAGCTTAAATAGTAATTTAAAACAAAGTCTATACATTTTTGTAAAACAGTTCTAACAATGTTATAGTCATAAGTTTCCCTATTTAATAGTGTTATGAAAGTAGGACGGCCTTACAAAGTTGGTTAGGAACTAACAGACAATACTAACAATAACCGGGAACTTATCAGCCACAGGTGGTTGCAAGTTGACACAATGTATAGGCATCGCTCGCCTCCTTCGTTGGCGACGAGTGCCGCGTCGGTGACCTGTCAACACTCTCGAGGCTATAACCTTTGTAACTCCACTCTCGTCTTCTGAACTACAGCTGAAATAAAATAAAATGCCATTTATAGTTTTTTATATAGGTACGATGATAAAATATAATTTTGTAAAAAAATGAGAAATTTTATAATTATTTCATATTTATCAAAAATTGATTTTAGCGATTTTTTTGTGTGGATGTATACTTAATAAGAATAGAATCTTAGTTCAAGGATTGTATGTCTGTATTAGACATACATTTGAACGAGGTTTACTCATAATATTATATTTATATGATTTTATATCAACTGCTTATGTAGATTGACAGATTGTTAGATACGTGTACATTTTTTATAATAATAATAAAAATTTAAACATAATACACTCCTATAATGCTGAATTTCCTAATCAAGCTATAAAAAGAGTTCGAGTCCTGTTTTTATTATGTTAATAAATATTTTTTTTAAATAAAACGATCCGATGTCTTTAAGTATTTTTTCATTAAACCACCTTTGATTGACTTAATAATTAAAAGTAGATTTATGAAAATCGATATAGAATTGACGAACACATGACGCAGGTATCATAAATATAAAAAAAAAACATACAGTCTATTGTATGTGTCTTTTTGAAATATTCTACTCCACGAGAAATAAAAGCTTATATGAAAATTTTATTAAATTTGGATATGAATATAATTTGGTAAAGACTATTATTTAAACGTATAGAAAAAGGGTTTCCTACAAACTTATATATAGTTATTTACTATTAGACACTACAAGTATATACATGATAGGTAATTAAGTTCAGTCAAGAAACCCTAATTTTTCTTCTTTCTCTCTCTCTCTCTCTCTCTCTCTCTGGGGTCGGTCCCTCATGTCTGAACATCGTGGTCAGCATCAGGGTTGCACCTGGAACGGATGATCTACCTCCACCGGTTTCTACCCAGCGTGTTTCTTACCACCGTGTAAAATTTCGATGACGCGATTAGTCGGTCCATCTTACTGAAGCACGACCGCGCGATCTTTTGCCTTCGGTCTTCTTTATAAAAGTACAATTTATAAAATACATATAATATATCTAATGTGTCTATAATAAAATACTAAATATTTACTTGGTAGGTTGTGGCGTAGGTCCTTGCAACAAAGATAACCCTGTATGGCGCATTGGGAGACCTAATAAATCAAATAATTCATGTAACATCGGTTGCTTTACGATCACATCCGCTTCGCAGTCAGCGCCCAGAGCCGGCGATAGATTCACCTAGAACGTAAATTAGTGACTCTTGTAATTGTTAATTTTTATCTAAATTTAAAGATATAGATCATTCTCGCCTACGTGTAATTAAAATTAAAATAAGCTATGTTATTATGCCATCCATACTAATATTATAAATGTGAAAATGTGTTTGTTTGTTTGTTTGTTTGTTTGTTTGTTTGTTTGTTTGTTTGTTTGCTTGCCTTTCTTTTACGTTGAAACGGCTTGGCGAATTGGCGTGATGTTTTGTGTAGAGATAGTTAGAGGGCTGTAGAGTGACATAGGCTTCTTTTTACCGCGGGAGATTATCTCTTTCCCGCGGGAAAACACGTTATGATACAATCCAAAAAAATATATATGATCAAAATTACTTGAAATTTGTTATTAATGCTCTCAATCTTTAATACAATTAAATAAATACCTTTTTTAGCATTTTTAGAAATTCATCCTATATGGTGGTAAAATAGGGCATGAAAGTTTGTATGAAACTTACTTTTTATATAGATTTTTTATAGTTTTAGCGCGAGCGAAGCCGCGGGTTCTGCTAGTATTGTATAAAGGAATATATCCTATATCATTTTGAATATAACAGCTTTATTCAAATTAATTTATTGTAACTGTACGCTCCCTTTATCTTATTATTTAGTTTGAGACTTAAAATGACTATCAATAATTTAAATATTTACTATCAATATTTAATGAGACATATTTTTTTCCATCAATCTGCATTAAAGCATACCTACACAGGTGTACCTGACCTTGTAATGTCATTAAAGTAAATGGATACTAAGTTTCGAATCAATTAGATCTGCGAAAGTTGTTAATATCGTTTTACCGTCTAGGTAATAGCGTGCAAACGGCTAAACGGATTTTCATGATTTATACCTAAGAACACTGTCCTGAAAGCTTTAAAAAAAACTAAATTAAAATCGATCTATCGATTTGGGCGCTACGATGCCACAGGCAGACACACTGATACACAGATAAACACTCATCTCTTCGCAATTATTTTGTTATAAAACAGTTCTAATTTATGCGAGCAGTTTTTAAAATCATAAAACAATATCAAAAATGCTCTTATACGATATTATAACAAAGCTTAACAGCAATAAAGAAAGTTCTATTAATATTTAAGAACTTAACAGCTAGTTAATTAATAATTTTAAAGCTAATGTAATACCTCAATAAGCCAAGGCTTTAAAGTATCATCAAGTAGAACATCAAAACCGTAGAATTCGAAGCAGTTTCTCGCTGGAGGCGTCCCAGCGGCTTGAGCGAGCAACGTTAGCGTCACTAGAGCCCTTATTCTTTGCCAAACTAACCACTCGACAGCACCCCATCTTCCGACCAAAGCTCGCCTTACTTGCTTAAGTGTCCACTTACAACCTAAGAAAAAATAGTGACATCTAGCGAATACCTTTATATAATAGTAGATTTAAATTCAACGCCATCTCTTATAAGCAAAAAGAACTATTTTAAATGTACTGAATGAAGAAAAAATATTCTTGGATTTTTTTACATTATCTACTACCAGTATTAATAATTCTAGAATTACGTACCGCTACCAATTCTATCCTTACATTCTGCATACCGAGGTCCGGTTTTGTTTAAAGATGAATTAGTCAAGTGCCTGTATGGATTATGGATATCAGATAATGTGTATTTATCTGTACCTGTAGATAGAAATAAATATATAAGCTTTAATTTCCTGCAAATATTCCCTATATCATCACAAAAATTATTGTAAATCTAAAGCAAATTGTCTCTACATATTTCTTTTTTAACAGACTTCCAAAAAGGAGGAGGTTTTCAAATTCGTCGGAATCTTTTTTTTTATGTGTCTTCACCGATTATTCGCCTGAACCGATTGGATTTTTTTTTGTTTTAAAGGGTATACTTCCCAGGTAGTCCCATATAAATTTTATCGAAATCGGTCGAGCGGTTTTAAAAAAAATCAAGAATAAATTATTTTTTTTAATAAATTGTTTTATCGAATTAAAAACTTTCTACTTACAAATTAAAAACTTTCTACTTACAAATTACCCGCTTATTACGTCTACACAAAAAATTGAAAAATAAAGTTTTTATTATAGGGAGGATTTTCTTATTCTTATGTAAATTCATACAATATTTAATCTTTTCTTGCGGCTCCACTTGCGTAAGACGATAAAAAGTATCATATTTATTATGCAAGGATATATAAGCTATATCCATTACGAATTCCGCTCCAATTCATAGAGCCGTTACGGTGTCAAGAGTTTTAGCATTAATTACTTTTAATTTAATACTTAATTACTAGCGGCTTACCCTAGTAATTTATCTTTGTACTAAATATCTAAATCCATCCAACCATTTAAACGTGAATACGTAACAAAAAGATTCACATAGATATATAAAACATTCGAGCATTTATACTATAATATACTGATTATAAATCTAATTTAACCCTCTTACGTACCGAATCTTGCGAGTCCCTCTGCGTACATATAAGCGGTAAGTGGTCGATATCCAGGAACACAAACGTATAATCTCAAATCAAACTTATACCCAGCAATAAGGAGAGGTCTCTCAATATACCTTTGGACGACAGCCGGACTACCAAATCGCATATCGCATACGCTCTGGAATATAAGAATGCTATATAGCCATATTATAATGTAATAATAATAAATAATAGTAACAAGCTCTATATATGTTTGTGTTTATCGATTAAGTACGTAACAGTCTAGTTGTAACACCGTTTACCCACAATATTATGTAAAAACGATATTGTTTGACTAAACGTAAAAAAATTGTATTAATCTTATTATCTAACTAATGAACTCATGTTTGATGTTTCTGTACCTATACCATATTTTTTGTTTTGTATTCGTTCAGTAAAAAATTGTAATAATTTAATGCTGAATAAAACATTTTGAATTTGAATTGAATTAATTTGTTCACAATGTAAATAATATTCAAATACCTACTTGCAATTTTTTCTCATTAAGTAAATGTTATTCTTTTGAGAAATAAATAAAGCATCTTTAAAGTGAATAATCACAATAGGTATGTCAGGACATTAACACACAACACCATCTAGTTCCATGGTAAGCTACGAGGCTTGTGTTATGGATACCAGATAGTTGATACATTATACATATATAACTTTAAATACATACATATTATAAATATAAACATCCATGACTGGAGTACCAACATTCGTGCTCATCACACAAATGAATGCCCCCCAGCGGGACTCGAACCCGCAACCGCTGGCGCAGAAAGTAGGGTCATTACAAACCGAGCCAAACGTGTCGTCAAACAACACAATATACACAGAAAAAAAACATTCTGTCGAATTGTCTCTTACTTTTTGGAGACGGTCAAAAAAATCTCCATCTCTTGTACTTGTACAATAACTTAAAAATATCACTTATGTAAACGTTATTTTTTTATGAACATTCAATAATAGGTATAACATTTAAGTATTAGTACATCATTAATTAAATTAAATTTTTTGGACATTTTTTATGAAGGCTAACAAACATTTTATTATATATACATTACACACGTACTCTGCGTTCTTTTTGTTTGCAAAAAATGTAAATTTGACTTAATATACCATTGTTGAAAATATTCCCAAGGAGGGTTGACGTCAATACCATTGTTGAAAAAGACGAAGGACCGGTTTAATATAAGATAAGCTGTTGGTGTTGATAGAATTACTATTTAAGCACGAAATTCTCAACAATCACAAATAGCAAGTGTGCACACTGACTTTCTAGTTCCATGTGCATTGTATGCTATGTATGTATACTTGCTATACAAATATTTGGTAATGGCACGCGTATTTAAACCTACTGCTGTTAGAATCCACGTAGACTTTACCTATGACCTGCCTCAATAGCGTGTCTGTATGCACTAAATTTGGTAATTCAGCACAAAACTAGTGTACTCGGAAGTCAGTAACCGAAACATCTTTTGTAAACATAAAATACTAGCATTGCAATAAAATTTCTTTAACTACTTATGACGACGTTAGAGTAAGATGAGTCTAACAGGTTAATATGAATTGGGCCGTTGGTCGCATGTTCGATGTCCTTGCTAGGTGAATATTTCTATCGAAATTGCTTGAAGACAAATGTAATGTCTTTCTGACCGATCTCGGCCAAGACGGCTAATCTCAATGAGACTAGCCAGATGCGCGGGAGATATTATTATAATAACGTACGCGCAGAGACAACGTGCACTCTGTATTCGACATAGGTTAGTTATTAGTCCGATGGGACGATACTTAGGACGACCAGTGAGGGTTAAGACGTAGCATCTACGGCAGGCATAGGGATGAAACAGCGCTAACTTTCCAACTCCGGGAATAATATCTGAGAATATCTTAACAGAAACACTCAGTAATTAAATTTGGTTGATCTGTGAATCAAACCCAGGAACTGATCTGTAGCCATACATGCTAGCCATTAGACCACCGAGGTAATTAAATGTATGACATTACCCAAGCACTTCTTTATGAACATCGGCGGAAAGTGTATACATATGTAAATATGTATGTATCTATCAATGATTAGACATACACATACTTTACCAGTCAGATAAATAATCTGATTAGTATAATAATACGACCTGTTATATCTATTCAATATACCATTTCCAAAGGAAGAAAATCGAACCCACTTCCTATTGCTAATCGCTCAACAGGGTCAGTTATTTATCTATTTTTGCGTCAAATGATCATTGACCTACATACATATAGTATGTATCTATAACAGTTACGCAAGTACCTAGTTGTTTATTCCACCTCAGTTTATTCACTTAAGTAATTCACAAATGTGAATCATTATAGCTTCAAGGTGATGAATGTACCATTTTATTACGTGATCTACTTGTAAAGTGGACATTATGTAAAAAAAATTTAACAAGTCCGTTCTTTTCGTTACATTTTTCCTGTGTGTTATCGTAAGATCTAAGTATTTAAGTTGAGAAAAGAATGTTAAGATTTTATCAGTATAATACTGTACGGCATTTTAAACTTTTGTTTACCCTAAATAGGAATATTCCTCTGCCTTGGCTTTGGGCTACGGGCTTATGTATCCACACAACATTGGCACCTGTGGCGTCATCTCGTCTTAGGCGAGAGCACTCAGATACCAGCTTCGCATATTCTAAGGGCAGATGAAAGCAGGGTGGGCTGAAAAAATATATATTTAATGGTTTATTACGATAGAAAAATGTAAGATTTATTATAATGATAAGCTATTATATTATTTTAGAACAAGTATTTCTTCTTTATCAACATGACTTTAACATTCATTGCTTAGAGAGAACATCGCAAATCTATGGGAATATTTGGGTTAAACCGGCGTATGGTGTATAAATTATTATGCTAGTTCAACAAAAAGGCAGTGGTAGTCCAGTGGTAACGCGCTCGCTACCGGAAACCTACATATCTAAAGAGAACCTTGCAAGAATTCAAAAGACATGTGAAGTCCGTACTTGGCCAGCGTGGTGGACTATGGCCTGATCCCCCTCATATTAAAGGGAGGCCCGTAACTAGCAGTGGGACGTTAAATAGGGCTGAATACGAATTAGACAAATGCAATACTACACCGAGACGGTCGTCATAGACCGTTCAAGGTTGACATTACCATCTGTTTCTTTAACAGAAAGTAGCGTGCGACAGTTGCTCTAGCGAAAACGTCATTAATTCTATATAAAACAAAACTATGGCATTGACTTTTTCTTGGGAGAGTCACGCGAGCCACGGTACCACTTGGGGTAATTACGTTTCATTAATATACCCTATAATTTTATATTACCTCGAACTTTCACCTTCGTCCCGGCAGGAAGAATTTATAATTCGACCTTTAAAACTTTGCTAATTTAATAACAGCGACGAATTAATTCCTTGTAATATCTTTATAAGTTTTCATTGTTTTTTTGATAGAATTACGATTTCTATTTGCAAAGTTCATATCGAGAACTTTCTTGAATACTATATTTTACTGTAGTCATATTGAACGTTTCCACCACTTTAATATGTAATGCTATTAAATACATAGTTGGATATTTTAGTGCGCATTATTTAACTATAGTTTTGTTTTTGTTTGGAGTAGTAATATGATTTTATTAAAAAATAATATAATATATATTTTTTTTAATGCGATGCAATGCTGCGATTTTATTTCGACAATCGGTCATGTACGATTAGGATACGAGTGATTCTATAACAGTTCAATATGTCTTTTGTTAGACGTACGAGATCTAGAAATTGTTATTTAAAATCTAAGTCCCCAGGACCCCAGTTCAGGTATAGTGATAAATATTTACGTAAATTAGTACTACGAATTCTTCTGTACACCGGTCCGACTCACACTTGACCGAATTATACTCATCCCATAAAAGAATAGATAATATCGTGCCGCACGCAAAGCGCGTGGATTCATTCAAATCGTCAATGACGTGAAACGATTGACTACAGCCCTAAAGTAGGGTAGGCAAATATCTGGAAAAAAGTAATACTAAAATAAACCTAATTCTCCTCATAATAAAAGCTACTATTATAACTGTATAAATTGTTGGGTCCATCATTGAACAAATATAATATAAATGCTTAACAGTTTGATATTTCATATCGACAACTTCCTGATTGATGTTTTCAGTTGTGTTGAAAAAGTTTTTATTTCACTTTCATGATAAGTCGATATCGTAAAAAACTCATAGTTATTTAAAATGGTTCTTAGTAAAGTTATTTATTTTAAGGTAAACCCGTACATGTTTTATAAAAAAACTAGCGACTCACCCTCGCTCCGTTCGGGTTCGTCCCTGGGGTGGGATCTGGGAGGACCACCCTTATCCTTATCACTTAGGGGTATGAAAAATAGATAGTAGCCGATTCTCAGACCTACTGAATACGCATATAAAATATGGTAAAAATCGGTAAAGCCGTTTCAGAGGAGTACGGTAACAAACATTGTGACATGGAAATTTTATATATAAGAAGATAGTGTTTTCTTTACTTAGTTCTTGTAACGTTCAAAGTTAATATTTTTGCAAAATATTCATTTATCAAGGTAGTATTTGACGTTGGGAAAACAAAGAAATATTGAAGGTTCAATTACCTCATTAGAATTCATGGTTGTGCGTGTTGATTTTTTTATTGGTTAAAATTGAAATATTTATGTTGTTTTTATTTAATATTATAGTTTTTTTTTGTTGTTGATTTTTATTTCTAATTACAATCAAACAGACTTTATGTATTTTTTTTTCATAAAAATATATTTAATTAAAACGTGCAATTACCTACCTAAAGTCGTAAATCGTTCCATAGATTCTTCTCATACATCGCAATAATCGCGACAAACTGTCCTTCCTGCATAATGAACCACCTTTAGGTATATGATTCATGAACTGAAATAAAGAAAATTTTGACTTAAAAAAGCTTTACTAAAAATAACCTGTATGCATTCTATCTACAAAATTATACTTCCTAGGTCAATAGATACTACATTTTAAAAAACCCAAGGTTTTTTTTTAATCCAATGATTTTCAAAACTGCTTTACAATAAGGTAAATCATAAAAAGTATCCATGGATAACAATAATGTCAGACACGATCCTTAGTCATAAAATTATCGACTTTCGCCAGAGCATCATAACTTTGGATTAGAGGTAGACACGAGAAATCTCAATAGAACATGAATGAATATCGTTAGGTAACTATAGTTGCACCCATTTTATAGGTATTTTACTAGCCTGTACTTTTCTAGCACCTATAAAATATTATTTCAAATTGATATAAATCGTAAGTTGCCTCGTAAGTAGACACTAGATGAGGACGCGTTTATCTTATTTATTATACATAAGACATAATGTTAAAACTTTAAAACTGTTTATATATTACTATATATTATGTATTTAATAATCATACATAACGGGGCAACGAAAATTGCTGTATGTATGTATTCAGCCCTTTTTAACGTCCCACTGCTGGACACGGGCCTCCCTTCAATACGAGGGGTATCAGGCCATAGTCCACCACGCTGGCCAAGTGCGGGTTGCTTCACATGTCTTTCTTTCTTTCACATGGTTTTCTCACGGTGTTCCTCAATAGCTCTATACTTATTTGTTTTTACTAGTAATATGCCTATTTATATAAAGGTTATCTGATTTGGCAATATAATATCCGCCTTAGAATACGCCCTACAACATCTTTCAATAAAATTTATGCCTGAGGTTTACAAAGTATGGTACATAAAATTATTAAGCTTATTTGCTTTGATAGACCACAAATCTTCGCGAAAGAAAACCGACATCGCAATAGGATAATTCACGCAGCCATTGAAATTAAAAACATTCTAAGTTTAATAGGGAAGATGGCTGGGTACTACCATCGTCTTGGGATCCAGTAATTACTATAATAAACTCAAATAACAAAATTAAACATTGCAGACAGTTAGATGTAGTAAGTTCTTACTGTGTGGATCAAAATAACAGTATTTCAAAATAATGTTTTTCATCTGTAAATGTAGCAATAGTGTTGCTTAATATTTTCATTTTAAATAATAACAAACTAAATTATAATTATTATTCTGAATTTTTTAACTTTTTAATTTTTTTAAATGACTTATAGACAAAAATATGAATGAATACCGTATTTTCTTTATGTTTATAAATAGCAACACTAAATAAGATAACTAATTAAAAAAGTTTTGTAAAAAATTGTAATAATTAAATAAATAATAATTCCATATGCAATTGATTCAATAAAACTTATTAAAAATATAAAAATGCTTTAAAATTAAAATTAACAAATATTCTAAAGTACTTTGGTGCCATTTTTTGTATTTTTGAATTCATTTTGTAATTTTGTGGGTAGTTTGTCGGTAACAACTATATAATATGCCTTTGAGACGTCTAAAACCTTAGTCTCTCCCGCGACCATTACTGCTGTAAAGCATTCGAAACGTCGGGAACCAAAAATCAAAATAAATCCGCGAAAAAATCCAAACAAATAGATTTATTTAAAATGTCAAATATTCGCGTAAATCTAAGGAAGAATATAATTTATTTATTTTAATATTGGATATCAACCACGTATAAAGTGCCTTCAGAAAAGGTCTAACCTGCCAATCTCCCAACGCTTTGTAGGTAGTGGCTGGAAAAGCACTATTACGCCACCAAAGATTCCATTTCTCCTCACTACCACTGTAGCCTTGGTACATCCGCCACCCACGTTCCGTACAAACCTGAAACCAAATATGAAAATTATGTGTAACTAGTTAAATATGTGACCTGAAGTAATGCAATTTTCATAAAAAAAAATCATTACTGCCTCAACTTGTGGATTGAGGAGAATACAATACAGATGCTATTTCTATCGAACTCTATAGGGACCTATAAAAAAATAAATAAAAAAAAAGTATATCCTTGTTAAAAATAAAATGAATTTAATATATAATAATTAAAAAAAACTGAGATTACTGTCTACAGTACTACTTAGATTACAGTAATATCCTCTATAATATCTATTAACCTTAATGAGAAGGCTTGGCCCAAAACCGTTATCATTTAATCTGTAAATAAAAGGTTCATCGTTTTCGAACACTTGAGACATTTTCCTTAGCAGCTATCTGAAATAATATAATAATAATATTTTTAGTATTTTTGTTACCATTTAATAATATTATAAAAAAATATAATATTAAATTCACATACTAAAGAATACTTGTAAAACTTATCGCATTTAATATTGCCTTTTTTGCGAATATAAATCGTATATTTTTTTATGCGAATATCTAAATCGCATGTCACATCGCCATACAAAACGCATCGAGATTCATATTTAAGAGCCACATGTCGATAGGGACACGTTATGTTTACGTTATTTTCACGTGTTTTTATGTTTCAGTGCGTTACGTTATAGGGGCCCGCTCAGTTCGGCCGCCCGCCCAACACTGCTCCCGCTAGTATCTAAGATACCAATGATTTATAAGCGAGGATTCGTGACACGCTGCTTTTAGTAAAATCAGTAACTAAGTAAATGCCATTCCTTAAACGTTGTGACGTGACAGTTCTATTCATGCTATATTGCACTTGTCACGTTGACCTTTAACAAAAAACAATTTTTAATAAAGAAAAGAGAATGCAATGAATATTAATGTTATAGTGAAATAAAATTATTATGTAAATTATTAATAACTATTTATATTAAATGTAAATTATTATAATTTTTTTTTGTAATATACAGATTGTCTCGTTAATAGTAAGTAGTTCAAACGAAAAGTGGTGAGAGATGAGATCTTGCCCTATGAGAAAAGCTAAAAATTTTTTAGTAAAACTTTTACAATTTTCGAGGTTTTCAGATTTTCATGATTTTATTGAAAATTTATTACCTTAATACTTATAATTTATGCCATTTTATTGAAATAACGAAAACGTATTTTTTTTATTGATTATGTCTGTCTAGATATGTAACTGGATTTCTATTGCAGTTTCCGAATAACATTAACAGTTTCTTTATAAAAAAATTTATTAAATTTACGAATTTCAATGAGACAACATTTTTCATCCAAGTTTAAAGTACTGTAGTGTTAAAAAAAAGTACTACATCCTTGATGCCCATTGGCTTAAAATATAGTGCGATGAATGAAGATTTAAAAAAAAGTAAACAAAGAACAAAATTCAATAAAAGAAAAAAGTTATTGCTATTTCATTGCCGAAGATCATAATTTTGCGATAAAAGTTTTTGGTCTGATTTTTGCTGTACATTTTAAAAATATTGTAAAATTTAGAAATTGTAGCCAAATGGAACCAAAGCTAGCGACACAACAAGTTTTCAAGTAAATAAATATATAAAAACACTAATAAGAACGAAAAGTATAAAAAAAATAAACCAAAAAGTATTATTATTATTCATTTATTTTTCATAAAAGATGTTCATAATCCAAAGTCAATGTCAATCCCCTGACCTGATACGTGCCCGACACCTTCTAATAAAAGAATGTTTGATTCGTTGTGCGTATCCAGCATTATTAATTTCATGAGCAGTGGTTTGGATACGCGCACGCAGCTCTTTAGTATTAAAATCCGCTTCTTGTACACAATCCCCTTCAGGCATCCCCAGTAAAAAAGTCCAAAGGTCGGGAGACCTTTAAAAAAAAGTTGTTTTAAAAATTTCTCACTCATATGGCGTAATGCGCTGGACAGCTATCATTTTTCAGCCACATTCTTCTGCGTGTTTCTAGCGAAACATTCTCCAAGAGAAGAAGGAGTTCATTTTCCAAAAAAAAACTTTCTGCATTAAGAGCTTCAGGCAACTCAAATTGCCCGATTACTTGTCCGTCCATTATGGCAGAGCACAAATTTATTTTGAATTGATATTGTGACCTATCCTCCCTTTTTTAATGTGGATTTTCCAACTGCCAGCTGTGTTAATTGTGCAGGTTAAAATATCCATCTTTGCAACAAGATTCACTGCTCCATAAAATAGTAGGTATTAAACCAACCCTCGTCTTCTCTTATTTTTCGTAGCATTCTTCTGCAAAAAATGACTCTAGCTCGATAATCTCGAGGCTGAAAACTCTGAACAAGTTGAACCTGGAAGGGACGGAAGCCATGAATCCGTCTTTAAATTGCTTGAGCTCTGCTCTTTGAAACGCTTGTGCGTCGTTCTATGACACGCACTGAAATAGATGGATCTGTTTCTCTCTCCTCTAAAACTTCGTCCTCACCATCCAACCTGGGGTTTCCTTCGCGTCCGCCACCAACGCCTTGTCCAGAAAACCTGCCTTTGGTGAAGGAATCGTGAACTCTTATGAACACACGGTGTTTTTACTTTATTATATATACTCCTGGGTATATATAATAAATAAAAATAAATAAAGTATGGTGCGTAGTACGGGTAATATGCATAATGCAGGTTATGTGCGTAATGCGGGTAATGTGCATAGTAAAAAAATGAAAAATATTCATTTGAAATGGTGTCATTTTGATCTACACATTAAGAACGTACTACATCTAACTGTCTGTTATGTTTAGGTTTATTATTTGATTTTATTATATTAATAACAGGATCCCATGACGATGGTAGTACCCAGCCATCTTCCCTATTGAAATTTGAATGTTTCTTTTAAATTTCTATGGCTTCTCGAATCATTATAGGGTGATATCGGTTTTCTTTTTTTTTGCGATAGATATCGGGTTTTTTTCTCAAACTATCTTCTTACCAAATTTCATCTAAATCGCTTCAGTAGATCCAGAGGTTACCCCCAACAACGTCACAAACTCACATTTCACAAACTCACAAACTTTACCTCTTTATAATATTAGTATAGATTAGTGTAATGTTTGATGATTACTATAGTATACTAGCGGACCCGACAGACGTTGTCCTGTCTACACGTCTTTAATTTGAAAATTTCAAACTTTTTTTAATAAGCTAAAACATTCTGGACCATTTTGATGAAAATTATTTTTCAAATTGTGAATCTAAACCATTCCCAGATCCCCTTGAACACACACAAAAAATTTCATCAAAATCGGTCCAGTCGTTTGAGAGAAGTTCAGTGACATACACACTCACACAAGAATTATATATATAAAGATATACCGTAATATATACTACATAAACAACCCATTACAGTTATTGTACATTTTAAACGATGTCATGACTTAAATCGCAAGCTAATCACCGAACTGTATTTCTGATTCAATTGTCGTACCTTTGTCATAAACAAAAAAGATTTATGTTGACAATTTATTTTAATGGCCTGAAATGTAAGCTGCATTATGCGAATTATGATAAAATTATGTTTTAAAAGGTCGTCCATAGACATTGATTAAAGCTAAAAAAAGATAATTTCACGACAATATTGTAATAAAATAGGTTATATAAATTAACATATTTAAAATTATTATTATTGTGAATGTTTGTTTGTCTTTTATGCAATAATGGAGGAAAATATTAGTACAGCGATTTAATAGTCTATACATACGAGTATAATAAAATTGTAACTACGACGAATCTGTACATTAAATATTTTTTTGGAAATTTTATTGAAATAGACAATATTATCGATACAGAGGCCGAATCTATAGTTTTTAGAATTTTTGTCTGTCTGTCTGTCTGTTACCGCTTTACGGAAAAAGCACTGGAGGGATTTTGATGAAATTTTGTATGATGATAGCTGGTTATCCGGGTCAACATATAGGATACTATTTTCCGCGGGAAAATATCTCATTTCTGAGAAAAAATACAAAAACTGCAATGTAAGAGTATTCTAATATGTAAAACCCTAGAATGTGATAGCATTATTATTCAAGCGATAAAGCTAGTAAAATAAATAAAGTGCAAGAACTCTTTTCCTGTGACAAATTAGTATCAATCGAAAGTAAAAGACTTGTAGAAAATGCCATCATACGTTTGACGGCCTTTTTTGTCCACTTTACTTGACAGCCGTAGGTAGCTAGATATAAACATGTGAATTAAAGTAGTTCATTACTAGTATCGTTTTCCAGAACGAACCAAGTATCAAAATATAGATAGTTTTGAAATAAATTTAATGATTTAGGATTGTCATATCAAAACATCTCCAAAGTACAGTTTTTTAATAAAAAATTAGTCTGGAGCAAATTTTTGGTGGTAACACTCCTTTTTTTTTAACGTTGGGAAATGCATTGACGCACGACGTGTGGGACTCACCGGCGTAATACAACCAGTACTACGCACTAAAACCCAACAAAACCTTCCCCCGTCTTAATGGGGCGTCGCAGGATCGCTTATGCATTCAACTACGACGCCCCGACGGCAGGTCTGCCAAAGCAGACCACCACAACCATGGAGTTGCTCCAAGGTCCACTCTGCTATCAGAGAAGTACCAGGAGCAACCCGCAAGGTACACCGCCCCCCGAAGAGGGCCACCTCCCACCGCCCACCGAAGTGGGCAACCTCCCTGTGCGTTTCTTAGCTTCGCTACTACTACTGAGCCCCCCCACCACGACAAGGTGAACGCACGTTGGGGGGGTGGTGGTAACCCTCCTGGGACGTGTTTGTTAATATGTTTTATGGTTTAAATAATATATTTCGTCTGGAAAAAGAATCGGGCTTTTAGACTATAATATATGATAGTTTATGATATAACATAGACCTCATAATTATTTTGACCGCTAAAATGATGATTATAAAGCAATTATATGTAAAGCATAAGGTAAACTATGTTATGTTTATTGACACATAATTATACTTCTCAGTAAAATAACTCAACTGTGATAGTAAACGAGCAATAAAACTGATACAATTGATAAGTTTGCAGCCTTCCTCGTATTTATTAAATATTACATTCGATATTACAAATAAATATTTATAATACAGCAATTAACTTAAGAATATCATATATTTTATAGAACCATTTAAATATAATAGTGTTATTTTATTAATGATGATGATGATGATCATGATGTTTTATTAATATAATAGCTGTGTTTATATTATATAGGTACTGCTAATGTAAATACTCCCGAGTATTTTATAAGTAGGTCAGGTAGGCCAAGTAGAATTCGATGTATTGGTACACAGTTTTTATTATTTTGTTACAGTCAGAGTAACGCTTTAAACAA